TTTTTTAACTTATATAAATTTTCAATATATACACTTGAAGGGTATCAATGGTATCATAGGTCGAATATTTCTATTTTCTTTGTGATATTTTATAACTCTATATTGATAAAATAAGTATTCTTACAGATTTTATTTTTATTTTATTTTTTCATGGTTGTGTATATTTTTAAACTTTTAAATTGAGGTTTCTATAATCTTTTCAACTTTTGTTTTACCAATTTAAATAACTTCTTTTTTTTATCATTCATCTATAATCCTTTGTCTTTTTTTCCAATTTAAATATCATTCGTCTTTATATTTATTTTAATTGAAATTTTTATTCTATATGTATTATTTATTTATTTTATGGCTTATTTAATGTTTATATGTTATATTTATATTAGCAAAATAATATTTATCAATATGACATTTTTTTGTCTTTAATTATTTAGATAAAATTTATAATGGAAAGAATGTATTTTGTAATATCAAATTATAGAAATCTCAACTATTTTAGTAGAACGGTTTTTTTTCCTTTTTTTTAGTCCGTAATCTTTGTTTAGAATATATTCCTTATTTTATTTTAATTATTTTTGTTAATATTGGAAATATTACATAGTTTAATAGAACGATTTTTTTTTTCTTTTTCTTAATTAGTCAATAATCCTTCTTTAGAATATATATATATATCATTTTTTTAATATTTTGTTAATATTGACACATGTCACAATCTAAATTAACAATTACACATGTCACGATCTAGTGCTTAAGAATTTTGCTTACGTGTCAAGCTCTCATCGCACGCATTCTCTTTTATATAATAAGATGTCAATCGTATGCACAATATATCGTTGATTATTTTTATGAAGTTTCTCTTGCATAGCGAAATAAGATATAGATTTTTTAATGACCAAGGCTTCAATGACCCAAAATGGTTTAATATTTTTATAATCAATAAATAATTATGTTTAAGGTAAACTAGAAAATTATCCGTGTTATACGCAGGATAATATGATTAACGAGTAAAATCAATATAATAGTTAAAAAATTATCTATAGTTATTGAGAAAATTATTATACGTAATCCAAAACTTGTTTTTATATATAAATTTTGTAATTATTTAGTGTTGAGGTGTGTTCATCCGTAAAATAATTGAAAACAACAAAATTTTAATTTCTAGTCACCAAAGATATATTTATTTAATATCATAATCTTTAAAAATGCGGTTATGACTCAAATATACAAAATGAAAGATTGCAAATATAAATTGAATCTTGTAGGTTTAGGGTACTTATAATAATTTAGTTTTTAAAATACAAACTCGGATTTAATTAATTGATCATAAACCGTTTTAGGTGTTATCTTAGTAGAAATCCAAAACCCATTTTGTATACATAAGTTTGGCAATTATTTTGTATAGAAATGTTTTCTACCCGTGAAATAATTGAAAACAACGGATTTTTAATTTCTTAGTCATTATATATTAATTATTAATAAAATATATTTGTTTAACAATGGATTTAATATTTGTTTGATAAAATTTAATTGATATATAAGTTGAATCCTACACACGTTTAGAGTAATTATAAGAGTAGTAATATAGTTCTTAAAATAAAAATTCGGTTAATTGGTCATTAAACTAAATCAAGATTAAATTTTTTTTTATTTTTTGTCGAAATAGATATTCATTTTGGTTTAATTTTAGTGGCAAGAACTAATATTACAATCTTTGAATAATTGTTTTAGGCAAATTTATAAATATTCTAATTTGTAGTGTAAATGAGGATAAGTTTTTGGAATTAAATGTGTTTGGTAATAAGTATAGAGGAAATAAGTAAATAAAAAAAAAAAGATTGAGAAAAATTGTAAGATTGATACATAAGCAAAATAATTATGTTTGGTTATAGGGATTGTGTGATAAAGAGTGTTTGGATAGCGGTATAGTAGTAGGAGTTAATTATAGGATTTTAATTAAAAAAAATTGAAAAAATTTGTGGTAATGACACCTAAGCAAATTTGGCCTACAATGCTTCTTCTATAATATATAGAGGATTTGAATTCACAAAAAAAAATGCAAGAACAAATGAGTGTTGCATAGATTAACAAAAGAGAAAAAAAGCAAACCACCATCTTGGATGAGAGTTTCAAGTGACTTGTCTGGCAAAGAACCGCGAGAATTAGCAGAGTAACGTAACATAGAGAAGTTGGTTCCATGTGGCAGGAACTCGCACCAATGGTTGTAATCTTGTAACATTCCGGCTGCTGGAGAACTTCCACAGACTTCCAGAGGTTGTCTGTAAATCTATGGATAACAATCGATTCGGTACTAAAACGATTTGGAAACTATCGATTCCAAAACCCTCTCAAACGAAGAAAAATAAACTGGTTTTTTTTTTCACAAAAGAAGTTAGTCACTAACTAATTTAAACTTTGTTATTCAACTTTTTTATCTTTAAGATTTTGAATTCCAATTTTGTAAATAGCAATCGTGTTTTTTTTTGGTCAATCATGTTCTTACTAGAGTATTAGAAAGTATGTTCTCTTTTCTTATCTTTTTGCATGATCTTCGGCTTTTTATATTCTGATTATTAAAGAATTTGTATGAGTTTGTTTGTATATATATATGGTTTTAACAGTGATGGAAAGAGGAGCAATTGTATTTATACCGAATGAAATGAACTATCTTGCTAATGGAAACAAATATATGGTTTTAGCATCCTTTTCAAGTTGATAACGTAATGATTCTTCCAACATGGATTTAATAACCAGTATAGCATGGAATCGAATAACAAAGGCAATGGTACGAGACCTATGAGTTATGAAATAACCAAAGATATAGTAGAATATATGTTGTTAGTTAAGCACAATGCACATAACTGGAAAAGAAAAAGCCTCAAAACAAAAAAATGTTTAGATTAACTTTAAATTCAGCAAAAGAACAATAATCAGCAAACCTAAATGAATATTATTGGTCAAAAGAAATCATTTCAGTTTTACCGGGCGGATTTGTTTCCTAGTCTAGTTAATTATACACCCTATGTATTAGTTAGATACAGACGTACGTAATAAAAAGGAAATTACTTTGCAAACATTTAAACGAAAAGATCTCAAAAGAAAAAGAAAGATTTACTCGCCGGCGAACCTACACGTACGGCGGAGATTTCATCTCCGTCGTCATTGTTAATCCCTCACAGTGTAGCCCTTTATTCAAGCACTTTAGCGTCCGACACAAGAAAAAGAAAGATCCAATCGTGAGTGTTTTTTCTTCTCCTTTTGATCGGAAATTCTAGGGTTTATGATCTTTGAATTAGGGTTAGGTTTATGTTTCCTAACTATTTCTCATAGTAATCCCTGAACTCGTCTTGTAATGGTCTTTAAACGCTAAAGGAAATCGTGGATCGAAGATGAGGTGTATTGCAGGGTCATGGGATCTAATTATTCCCTCGGAGCTCCTCCAAGAGATACTGTCCCGCCTCGTATTAAAAGATAACCTACATGCTTCTCTTGTCTGCAAAACATGGTGTGAAGCATCCGTCTCTGTCCGGAAGTTACAGCCTTGGCTATTGTATCCAGCACTAGAGGAAAGCTCTGGTACGTGTTCACACTACATTCTTTTTGACCCATTAGGGTTTCAAACACATCAACAAAGATTTCCAGAGTTAAAGGATCATGAATTATGTTATTCTAGAGACGGTTGGTTGGTTGTTAGAAACGGTTACCCATCCGTATTCTTTCTTAACCCGTTTACACGAGAGCGCATCAACTTACCCTGGGGCTGGTCACCCGAATTCTCTAGCTATTATTGCTTAGCTTTCTCAGCTGCTCCTACCTCAAGTAGTTGTGTGGTGATCTCACTCAAACAAATATGGTGCCACGACTACCTTTTCATTCATACTTGGCTGCCTGGTGAAACCGTATGGACCCCGCATCGCTTTGAGAACCAGTTACGGCCCCAGCGCAAATGGACCCAATGTGTCTTCTCCAATGGTATGTTCTATTGGCTCAGTGCATGTGGTTACCTCGGGGTTTTCGACCCGTCTAGAGCAACCTGGAATGTTCTTCAAGTGAAACCCTGTCCTGCAAATTTCGTTAGGCCAATGTTGATGACAGAACATGAAGGAAACATTTTTGTTATGTACAAATGTGGCAGAAGCTACCAGCCAGTGTTTAAACTTAATCTTGAACGCAAAGTGTGGGAAGAGAAGAGAGAACTTGGTGGCTTGACAGTATTCTCAAGTTACTCTACCCCTCTTACAAGAGCTGGACCATCGGCTGAGGAAAAGAACATGTTATATGAGCGACTTGGATCAAGTTACTACCTCGCCAATGACAAAAGCTTATTTGTCCCCCTTGGGGTGCATGTTGGGTTTCGCAGGATTGCTTTGGTGGATCCACCACAACTTGTTAAATTGTGATTTCATCAGAACCAAGGTTATCAATGGTTAAAGATTTTACATTCAAGTATCTAGATTTCTCATGGACAAAAAAAGGATAATCTACTACAAACACTTTGACTTTTGTTGGATTCGTACACCAAGTGAACAAGTGTTTTCATTAATTTGTTCTAGCATTCTAAGAAGAGACAACAAAGTGGTAAAAAATTAACAAAACCATCCAAAAGCTTTTTCTTCTGGTGGGACTTCTTCTTATGACCAAAGTTCTCATGATCTCTTTACATGGGCAATGGTACCTTAAGTGACTTGTTCATGGTAATTTGTCCACAAACATGGTTTCGATTTGGGATTTAAGGTTTGGGGCATAAACAACTTTTTGTGAACAAAATTTTTATCCACGATAACATGTCCACCCGTAGTCGTCCATGGTACTATGTCCAAACATATGATTTCGTATGGGAGTCAAGAGTTTGAGTATGGACAACCATGCGTGGACAATAATTGTTTATGATATATTGTTCACCTACACTCGTTAATGGTATTTTTTTCCACATATATGGTTTCGAGGTTTGATTTGGGGTTTAGAGCATAAGAAAATTTCATATGCATTTTGTTATGATAGTTCATTACTAGATTTTATTGTTGTTGTTAAATTTTAAAAGAGAAACATGAAATGAGATGAACTAAAAGAAAAAAATTGGAAAAGGAAGAGAGAGAAGAGAGTAAAAAACAAAACAAAAAGAGAGAAAAAGAGGAGTGGCAAAAAGGAAGTGAGAAGATATAGTTGTGTAGTTGATTGAATAAAAGAATGAAAGAGGAAAGAGGAAAAAATGATATGTGTTTTTTACTCTCATGAAAGTGTTTCAATAATGAAAAATGTGTATATAACTTATTTTTTTATGAAAACTAATTATCTATCGTAATCAATTTAAAATAGTGATAGCCGATCCTATGATATAACTGCCGGTATAAAATTATATGAGAAAAATAAGTGTGATGTGAGTATAAAACCACCCGTCAAAACTAACCGAACACTACATATACGAGCTATATTTGTAGCTGAGCTAAATCGAACCGTAGTTTTATTTAGTTGGTTAGGGTTAAGGCTTTCCTAGAATTAAGCCTTCACACTCATAAGGTTTAGTTCATTTTAGTTTTAAAAAAAAAGATTTTTAGATGAATTTTTAATTTGTTAAAAATATAAATGTATATGTATAAAGTATAAAAAAATATGATTGGAAACTTATTTTTTATGAAAACAAAATATGAATCAAAATCAATTTAAAATATGATAGATGATCATATGATATAAATGCATGTAGAAAGTTATATGAGAATGATAAGTGCGACGTGAGCATAAAACTACCCGTCAAAACTAACCAAACACTGTAGAGACGAGCAATATTTCTAGTTGAGCTGAATCGAACCATAGTTTTGTTTAGTTTGTTAGGGTTAAAGCTTCCTTAGGGTTATGCATCCCACTCTTAGGGTTTCGTTTCTTTTAATTGCAAAAAACAAAAAGAATTAATATTTGTTTGAGTATGTTTTTAATTGTTTAGTCTTACATATATATTGATTTGATGAATTTTTAATTTGGTAAAAATATAAATGGTATATATGTAAATTATAAAACATTCACTTTATCTTATGTTAATTTGATATTATCGCAAAATCAAAGGACTGATATSCTAATTTGATATTATTCTCTTTAATTACAGTCTTAATCTATTAATTTTCCGATATTGTTGTCCCGCGCAACGGGCGGGTACTTCCCTAGTTAGCAATTATTTTAGTAGAAAGTGTCTATATAAGTAAAGTGTTCCATCTTCCATCTTCCATCTCTTTCCATAATATCGCTCTTTGTTTCCTCGCCTTTCGACCAACTAGATTCCACTTTGCTCCGGTCGCAATCACATCTGAAACCGTAAACCTCAAGCAAATCTCATTTCTCTGCTCGAGTAGTTCATGCTCTCTTCCTTAAACAGACTTCTCTTCCTTCAAGAACATAGTGGATCATCCTAATGATGATATCGGCTCTACAATCCAATATACAAGCATTAACAATCGTGATAAAAAATGACGTCTTTGGATATAACCCATAAGCGAAGCAGAGGAGAGAAAGGGAAAAGCATAGTAGAGGAGACTCTCTGAGGATAACTTGTCCGGCACGAAGAGTTATATATTTCAAAAGTTTTTCAATTTCTTGTTTGTAATGTACATCACTTTATTGCTAAGGATTATATCATATATAGATCAAAATGGATGGAGGGATCTAAGTGTGTGCCGTTTCATGATCAAAGTGAAATTAGGAAGAATACAAGAGAGAACCACATGACTTGCAGTGTTTCCTTTGGCCGATTGTGACTCATAATTACATGTCGGTGGTCCCAATATCAACTACCTTCTCTGCATCACTCTGGTTACTATTCTTACATTTTTAATTGAAGCCAAAAAAAACATTTCTTCACAAGAACTTCTATTGAGAAGTAATTGCTTTAGAACTAAAGAAATTTTACCAATGGGAAAACTAAGGTAACAAGTGAAGAAATTTTAAATAATATTCATCAATCGCTTGTGTAGCTGACGGAGAGCAAGTATAGATCCAAAAAACAAGCACGTAAGGTTCTATATATAAGAGTCACGAACACCATATTCCAAGAGGAACTGTGACTCTTATAATCCTAAAAAGAAAAGGAGATTCCACAACAGTAAAGAAAAAGAAAACACCAAATGCGCTGCATTAGTAACCAGTCCGGATCTTGTAGAGGATATGAATCATCCGAGTGTCTTGAGCCACTGTAAAATTGCTTCTGCTGTTTGCACTGCAATCTGTGTTCCTTGAGCAGCTAGCTTTGTAAATGTTTCGTGTTGATTCTCCTCTATTTTTAGCTGCCCGAGTCTGCCTTTGTTTGTTTTACACATTTCAAAGAGGATCACTATAGCGTTCTGTGCAATCACCCCGCTACTCTGTCTTAAGATAATCATCAGATCACGGATAAACTCTAGGTTCTCCATTTCTTCAATCACACCGGTTTCTGTAGAAATGGATGCCAAGCGAGCTAGCAAAAACCCATCCGCATCCTTTCTTTCTCTCATTTGTTTGATTAGCTCACTAATAAAACCTGCTGCAATCGGTCTTTGCCTGTTCTCGAGTACAGTGAAGATGTTACAAACGGCAAAGGCGGCCGCACGGGTGGCTACAGAATCCCCCTTCTTGATTAGATGTACCAGAGCCACGGGTGCTTTCGAGTTCCCAATGTTGTCCTTGTTAGAATCAATGACTGAAAGTACCCATAAGGTCGATGCAGATTTTCTTTGTTTATGATCTGTCCCCAGCCATAATGACTTTGTAAGCACTTCGATAGCAAGAGAGTTTTGAGCAATAACTGTTCTGTTCTTCTCATTGACCGAGATGTTGAACAATGAGGTGATGATATTCTCCTGAAGATCAGTATTCGATAAAAACACCTCGCCCGAAAGAGGAGTGAGCATCCGGGTGATTGAATCAGGGAGTTGACTGAAAAACAAGTCCCCGACTCTGGCGAAATTCGTGATCTGGCGGCGCAGCTCATTTGCAGCTTCGGTCTGGTCTGAAACAGAGGAGGCAGAGGAAATCCGGTGAAGCAATGACTCTAATCCATCGATGTCCAGCTCTGTGACTTTTTGGTTGAATCTCCGGTCATATTTTTCGGCTTGACACCATTCCTCAATCAAATCATTTACCAGAAGATTCGGTCTAACCGAGAGGTCAGAGAGGACTGCTCCGGTATGGGGACATGTATTTGCATTCATCAACCAATCTGTGATATAATCTTTCTCATAGTTCTGAAATTGAAATCATAGAGTCGTTGTGTCAATACGTCTATTCATTTGCCCAAAATCGATAACTTCAAACAAGAAATATCCCAAAATCCATGGCAAAACTCACAAGAAGAGATCAAATTGATAACTAGATAAACAGGAAACAATACGCATTCATAGGAAAAATGTCAAGCATAACTCTGTTTCTTTATGGATGCTATTTCTTTTAAAGAAGCAAAAGATTATAGGTTCGAAATCTAACCTGGCCAGAAGCAGTGACTACAGGGTCGATCATGATTTGGTTTGAGAACAAACACTTGAAGCGTTGTGGAACAACCAACTTCGGAGATTCTATTCTCTGCTTTTTTGATACTTGAATTTCAGATTCTTCACTCCCAGATTTCAATTTTCCTCAGACGCGTCAAGATTCCAAAAGCTTGGTTGATTTTTTCCAAGACTCCGATTTCATTCAGATCTACTCGTCCCTCGTAGACCTCTCCGTGAGTAGAGTCTTTAACTTTAGCCTCAAGGTATCGGCGTTTTCCGCCGTCGAATCCGCCGTCAAATCCGCCATTTTTAGTCGGAGATTTCTTGAAGAACCCAGAAGAAAAGAAGAAAGTCGATAATGGAAGAGAGGCGGGAAGTTTCAGTTAGAGACAGAGAGATCAGTTATGGTTTTTCTTTTTGTTTTAATTACGCACGCCACTGTGTCTATATACTGCCACGTCATTACGTTACATCAAATCCAGATTCTGATTAGTCAAGGAAAATCCAGACTTTCGGGATAATTTTGCTTTTAATAAAACAAAAAAAAATAATGTATAAGCCCTTGTTTTACAATTAATTAGATTTAGTGATAAATTTTTAATCAAAATACTTTATTCAACCAATTTTTGTGGTAAAAAAAATAAAGAAAAACTGTCTTCCGTAGAAACCCTCAATAAGATAAAATTAAACATTTTTATCTTTCGCAACCGAAAATTAAATGTATCTATCTCCACATTGCGCCGGTTCCTTCTCGGGCTATGTTTTTGTACTCTCCTTTGTATTCTTCTTTGTATGTATGGATGTATAATAATAAAATAAGATGACAAAAAAAAAAAAATGTATCGATCTCTACCAAATCGAATTGATCGGTTTCGTTGTTACTAATATTGGGTTTACGATCCAAACCAATACTAAACCATTTAAAATTAAATTAAACCACTTAAAACACTAATTGGTGTTTCAAACCAAATTAAACCAATAATACCAAATGGATGATCATGGTCGAGCATCTTCAAAACCCCTTTTCTGCGTCTCAGCTATATGCATCTTCCTCTTCATCGCAAGTGCTTTTTTATCAACCACTTTCATGGCGAAATACAACTTCCGGTTTTATCTTCTTCTTCGTCTCCTCCAACGAGATGACATAGGTTAGGTCGTGTATATTTGAGTAAGCGAAATCGGAGGAACGGTGAGGTTTGAGAGATTCCTCTGGGATAATTGGCGGTGGCGCGTCGAAGGCTGAAACGGCTACAACTCCCCGTTCTGCTTCTAATCGGAGAATAATCGTCTCTAAACTCATCTCACCGTCTGATTCCCCTAACATCGCCAGAAATCAAAGGAAAAATTGGAATCTAAAAACAGAATCAACACAGAGATGCACCGGAATCTCATTGAATGGACATTGATTTCGGAGATATTTTTGGAAGGTTTATTCGAGAAGATGTTTCTTGCTGGAACGAGATGATCTCTCTGGTCTGATTCCTTCCCAAATCTTCCAAATTAGGGTTAATCGGAGTTGTTTTGATCAAACCAATTTTTATCAAAATAAAAATAAAAGAGTTAATCGGATCTTAATTGGATCTTAGTCGGGTCATAATCCAGTAAAGTTTTCAATGGCTAACACCATGTACAATGGTTGAAAAAATT